GCCTCAACCCCACATCCAACTCCTGCTTCAACACTGCCATCATCGACGCAATGCGGGTGATTATCATACTGAACCAAAGCTCCCTCTTTTAATCAGAAAGAAATAAAGAAAACGTGAAGAAAGAGAGGGAGGAGTCTTTCTTTCTTTTCTGTTCTTGATGCCTGGGACTTAATTGGGCGAAACTTAACATGTGGAGCACACCCATGAATTCCAACTAATTCAGGTAGGATTACGAGTCCTAAAGCTCTAGTAGCAACGGGATTGCTTAATTAGGAACCTGAAGGTTACAACTTTAACTAGCACTACATGATTATTTTGGGAAAACATCATCACTAGCAAGCAGCCATCCAGTTCGTATGCATAGTGAAACGAGATTAGGCTTAGTTAGATCACCCCCGTACATGCTTCGACTTTATTTAAGATTCCTAATTCAGCTATTGTTCTCCAATTCATAAGATTTCTACTCCGTAACGAAGCGAGATTATTGTTAACAAGATTAGGACGGGTTTAATAAATACTTGTGTAAATTCATTGTTTCCTAAATCTCTCCTAAAGCCTGATTCTTAGCTTGTGGCTGTAGACCTGCAATGATGCTAGAATTAGTTTTAGATGTATGTATCCATGAAAACATATATATATACTAAGCTTATGTTTCTCAAAGACTATGTTTTCCGTAAATACGGTTTGCGTATAGGTAACATGTGATATTTTCCTAAGTTCCACGTCTATTTGTAGCTTTTCTGTCACTAAAGCGTTGTTCGCTGCTTCCGCTTGTTGCCTCTCTCCACAAAAATTAGTAAAAAAATTTAGATCGCAGCCTCCGCTTCCTTTTTCATCATTAGGAAAAAGGCTGCTGGATCCCGAGAATTCACTTGGCTGCATTAATTTTAAAGGATCCCTCTTCTCTCATCTCTCATTTGTGGTCTTGGTATTGATATGAAAAAACTACTCTTTGTTGACTCGCATACGTCACGGAATTATGAATATGTGCATGATGTAAACTTGCCTCGTTGCTTTCCCAGCCAATATTTCTCTTTAACAAAATTAAACCTTCACGTCACTAATTTCTCTGTCGATAGCTGATGCTAGCAGAAAATGAAAATCAAACAAGGTACAAGTTGAATGAAGCCGATCTGAGATGCATAATGCACTAATACAGAAAAAACACGGTGCTTTCAATTAATTATCCTTTAACATTTTGAAGCTCCGTGTTATTACAAGCAATTATTTGTCAAATTGTTCTGAAGAAGCTAAGCTAAACTTCTTTCTCACATAATAATTTCGAAGTTTATCAAACACTACTCTCTCGTACGTTCTAGCTTGCTGCTTAAAAATCAAAAACACACACAGCCCACATCAATTCTCCCATTAAAACTAAAACCAACTGCAAAAGTACAACAATAATAACATCAAGCAAGAACAAGAGCTACTCTAAATCTAATGTGGGCAAACATCTAACCCATAGAAGCACTAGAATCTAAGAAAATCAAAAGATGACAAGATACCCAAATCAATGCTAGTCTTCTTCATCTGCCACCATCTTCTTCACCGAACCGTTCCTCATCGGCTCCATTCTCACCGGAAGTGGTGGAGCCATCCTCTGAGAAAACCCATTAGCCCTCTCATGTCTCATAGCTTTAGGGCTCTCTTCATTTTCACTGCTCCGATCATAAAATCCTCGCAGCGCTTCTTCTTCAATGTCTGCAATTCTCTCGGGAAAATCATCGAACAAGTTATCTTCCCTCCCATTACACTCAGCGAAGCTCACTCGTCTTCTCCCTCTATCTCTTCTCCTCTCCAACTCCTCCAATTGAGATTGAGAATCATTGCTCTCTTTAATCAATACCTTGTCCACAAACTCCGAGATCCGAACCAGCTCTCTGCTCACTGATCGTTTTCCTTCTCGAATAATCGGATCCGAACTCTAGAAAACAAGACAGACCCATTATTACAAGAGTTATAACAAAATTTAAGGTTTTTTACCCTGAAGTTTTATTTTCACAGTTTGATATCCCAAAGTGCAAAAAGCTTTGTCATTAATTTTGTTCAAGATTATCAACATTAAGAAGTGGAAGAGAAACGATTTCCTTACCAAATTGCAGTCTCTGAGCTTGGAGAAAATGAAGAACAATATTGGAGCTTTGGGGTATCAAATCATCAAAGTAACATCAATTGGAATACTTTAGCGTATTCAATTGTCAAAATATAACTTCAGGGTCAAAATATGAGCACGCAAATAAGCCTTATCACAATACAACCCTACATACGAAGGGGGAAAAAACCTTTTTTGTTACCATTAACCAAAACTTTTAGCAAATTTCATTCTTTTTGGTTTATGTTTGGGAAATGTGAGGAACAAAGTTAGGGCTTTGGTTATCAAATTAACGTCATATTGAGAACTCTATGGTGAAAAGCGCAAATGAGAACTTCTGCCTGGAACTTTGAGGTACTAGAGTATATGATTATCAGACAATACTTTCATCAGCTTATATAAGTAGCTTAGGGCATGTTTGGTAACTAGTCAAACTAGCTTATAAGCTACTTTTATGGCTTATAAGCCACTGCAATATGTTTGGGGACTTGCTTATTTTGACTTATAAGGCCAACAGAATAAGTTCTCCTGACCCAGCTTATTTTTGGGTGACTTATAAGCTATATAATTTGCCCAAGTAAATGTCAAGTTTGCCCCCTCAACATTTAAGATAATTCGAAAGCCTATTCAATGTTTAAATTCAGAGTCATCCTTTTTTGGACATTTTAACAACAATGATGGATTACAATCTACCCATTTGACAAACACTCTTCCGCGGCTTATAACTCTTTTCCTTTTACCAAACACTTTTTGCTTATAATCCGCTTGCCTTACAATTCATTTACGAATTAGGAATTATAAGCCAAGTGGATTACAAACCAAGTTCCCAAACATGCCAGCTTCTCCAGCAATACCAAGCTAGCCCGGCCCGAATAAAATTAGGGTATCAGTCGTCAAATCAATGTCAATGTGAACACTCAGGATTAACTCCAGGCTCCACGGTGAGAAAATTTGAGGTATTAGAATATGCTGAACGAGCCATATCGCAGTCACAACCCTAACAAAGAAGCAAGCTTTCTACTCATAAACTGACGGAATCGAGCTGCAGCAGCAGATCCTCCGCTCTCTCCGACCCCGCCTGGCGGCTCGCTAGCGGTGCCTATCAGAGAGCGACGATCTGAGAGCCGCAGCGTGAGACCTGACGGAGGCCAGCTGCTTCAGATCCGCGCGCCGCCCGCGACGCGGCGGCGAGGAACCGGCGAATTGGCGCGCCTGGATCGTGGCAGCCGCGCGTCTCTGAGAGACTGCCGCCGCTGTTTCGGGCGGCGCGGGGGGCGGCGGGGAGGCGGAGAGGACTCAGGGCTGGCGACGCGCGGGCGAGGGAGCGGAGGATGGAGGGGAGACCGCGTCGGCGCTGGCGTCGCGGTGCTTGGGCCGCCGGGGCGATGGGGTTCTGGGGGTGGGGCTGAAGAAAGATTGGCTGGGGCTGCTGTTGGGACTGCTGGAGGAGGAGCATTAGGGTTTGGGGAGGAGGTGTCGGCGTCTTGTGGGGCTCGCCGGGGGAGGGGCGTCGCTGCAGCAAGTGCAGGAGGGGGCGGCGGCGCAACAGCAGCAGGAGGCGGCGCAATGGTTGTGGCGCGGTTGGCGGTGAGACATGCTGGGCGGCTGATGAGGGGAGGGGGGGGGGGGGGAATGAAGGAGGTGTTTCGGTTGAGATCCGTGACGGCCTGTTTCTAGGGTCCTTTTCCGACAAAGGGTTTTGGATTGGGTCGTAGTGCGGCCCGTGGGGCTTTGATTCTGTACTTTCTTCTCTCTCTCTCTCTCCATAATATATATGGATCGATTTTGATAATTAAAACTTGGTTTGGGTCTACAGTAAAAATTTGTTCTAATATATACGCCACAATACTTCTCGTTAACGTTTCATATTAATAATCCACAATGCTTATTGTAATTTATACACCGTTCATTGTATAGCTTATAAGATTCAAATAGATAAAAAATCACATACATTTTAATATTTTTGGTCTTCATATCTAATGACCTAGAAATGAATAACATGTATCATCGGTCTTAAAGGCCGGTTAAAGTAAATTCCAAGCCATGCGATTTTTTTCCATCCGTCTGAAGTTTGTGGTGTGCAAATAACAATAGATGGTTTGAATTGACGATATTTTATGGTCCGAATTGTACCCCTTGATTGTCCGGTTTTTTTTATATAATCTAGTCAAGAATTGAACTCAAAACCATGGGAGCAATATTGGAGCATCCCAACCATCTCAAAACCAGCGGTGGTTTTCAATGAATTGAACTAGCAATATATATATATAATCTATAATTATATAAATCTTAACAGTAGTTAAGAGCTAATCCAATCATGATTTAAACATCTAGCAGGAACCAAATAACGTCCCATGAACTGTCCCCTTCATGGACCAGGCGGGGCACTGGGGCGCCGGGACACTTTCCATTCTTGACAAAATACCATCTGCACGTCTGCATCATCTAAGTAAAAGCTTATTTACTTATTATTGGATACATATAGGACCTCAATTTTGAATTCAGCAGACTAAGAATCACCCAACAAATGTTTTTTTACAGTTCACTTTCTTAATTAAGATACAAGCCTTAACGCTCTGGATCCAAAACCTCTCACCTCCAACTAGCTGATAACTTGGAGATGGTCCAATTTTCTCAATCCTTATTGTCTATATCATTTCCAAGTGATAAAATCATGCCACGTCATATCTCTGTTCTCTTGAAAACCACGGGTAGATTTCAAAATCACTATAGTCAAAACCACTACTTGTGGTAGTGAAAATATTAGGTTGAGTAATCTTATCCACTGGAATTGTGACAGACAATAAGGTTTAAGAGAATTAGATCATCATCCTTATGTCCCCTCTTTCTTTGCTTAAACAAGGTAAGAACACAAAATATAAAGCATGAAAATACTTCAACATACGTGAGGCAAGAATACAACAGATATAGTCAAGTTTACTGTATTTCGAATTTCAATACAAGAGGTGATGATATTATTCAATTGAAGCAAATGACGTGAAACTTGAAATACATGACCTGATAATGGTCAAATAGTTTAGGAAAGAATTTAATAAAATCATCCTCTTCTATCAATGTTGAAAGTTCACTTTCCAAGCAAGCGACGACCTCGAATGTTTGCTCCCCTCACTCTGAAATTTAACTCCCCTACATCATCATCCAAATGGTCCAGAGCCTTGTTCTGCCTGCAGTTTTACACAAATATAACAATATTGGTCATAACCCATAAGTATCTTTAAATGAACTAGGAAAGAGCGCATTCCATGATCCTTTCTTGAGCCAATGACAGAAAATTATTACTTATATTAGTTGGATAAATCTACCCTCAGCTGGATTATTTCAAGACAAATATTTTACAATTGCCCTCCTTCACGGCATATTTGAACTCTACACAAAATGGCCCATGTACATTTAAATGCAGTAAAGAGCCATTTACATGATCCTTACTCATAACATGTAAAAGATAAGCACAGAATATCCTATTTCAAGGTAAATATTTTATACTTGTCTTACTTGTCCGCTTATTTGAACTCTACACAAAATGGCCTATGGACCTTTAATGAAGTAGTGAAGAGCACATTTGTATGATCCTTACTCACAGCATCTAAAAGATCAACATAGAATGTCCTATGAATATCTTCAATTATAGGTGAGCATAGTTCGGCTCAAACCGAACAAACCGACCAAACCGGCCGAAATTTGAGAGTTCGGTTCAGTTTTTACTAGAGTTCGGTTTGGGTCGGGTTGAAGTTTTTTCAACCCGAACCGACCGAATTGTATTACTCATTCTAATTATTATCCGCATTTGCTTAAATCCAACCCATCATAATTCATATAGAGTTGCTTGCTGCAGCTTGATATCTTTTTCTCTCACGCGACCTGATAGTGAGAAATACCCAACAATGGTGTCCTCTTCAATTCTAGGGTTTTTCATCATTTCTAGTTCTCGATCTCTCTCTATTATTTAGTAGCATTTGATAGTTCATAAATTTCAATAAATTAAAGTGTAGGAGACTTCTTTCTTCGTCAATAGATTAGAGGTGAAACTGAATTTGAACATAACATTTGTACCCAAGTAAAAACTAAACAAACTGACCCGACCCGAACCGAACCGACTTGAATCGGTTTGAGTCGAGTCGGTTCGGTTTTGAATGATAGGCAGTTCGGTTCGATTTGGCCAAATTTGGCAAAAAAACCGAACCGATAGACCGATTGCACAGCCCTATCTCCAATCAACAAACTAATTCAAATCTACACTCAAAAGATTGAAAAAAAAAACTTTTGATGATGTGGATAATAACAGAAAAACAGAAACTTACCTCTCAATCTCAGAGCCCATGTCAACAGCCATGTTCTTCAAATCTCCCAACAGATTGCTCAGATCTGAGAGTGCATCATCTTGTTTTGCCTTTTCTACCTGTATAGTTTATAAATTATAAATTAGTCAATACACAAATAAGGCTTGGCAATTGATATACTATCTGTACTCAATAAAGCTACAAAATCTACCTGAACTTTGTCTAGTGCGGATGAAGATTCAGAAGGATACTGTCGAGGATTTGATCTCGACTTGGTAGGACTTGAAGATAAACCTAACCTTTGTCTCTGCTCCATGTGGTTATCCCTCCTTATATAAGAATCATCTGTGCGTATAAAGGCAAATCAGTAAGTTTCTACATAAATTCATGTTAATTTATCAGAAATTCTTTTATGGTTTGTTTACCTCTAGTTAAAAGTGGTCCTTTTATCTCTCGAGTTTTCTTAGGCTTCCATGTCTTTGAAAAGAGTCCACCAAGACTTCCCAAAAGCTTCTCCCCCTGAATCACACATGCAAGGAACAAAAAAGATTATCTAACTAACAATAAGGCCTTTTCTCATGTTTACACTTTACATTCACAATCTAAATGATTTCTAGATCTGATAAGATCAAAACTCAATTTTGTACTTAAACTAGGCATAGCAAACCATCAAAAGGAATTAAATCAACAAATCAAACAATGCAGATTTATCCGCACAATATTAACTGATGAAGAATAAAGGTTGAAATATCTCATAGAGGAAGCTCCCAATAAGGTGCCTATCTTAGTAGTAAGATTGAGAATGTGACGAGAGATTTATGATAGATGCTTAAACAAAAAGAGAAGATAAACAATTTACAAGGACACTTGTCCTGATGTCGAAGTGGCCGGGAAAATTCCCCCTCTTCAAACCCCCAAACCCGCCCCCCCACCCCCCCACCCAAAAAAGAAGAAAAGAAACACTTGTCAAACTCACCAACCCCCACGCGGCACACTGAAGAGAGAATGGAATTTTGCAACTTCCGCCACTTAAAAGGAAAAAAGTGTTAGATACCTTGTGCATTATAGAATAAAAAAATAAGAAAAACCTTCAACCTTCCAACTAATAAGGTTATGGTTAGGAACCTGTCCATCCAGGCCGGCCCGGCCAGCGGGCCGGCCGGGCCGGAAATCCGAGCCCGGGCAGGGCTACCCCGGGCCCGGATACCCGCGCGGTCCCAGATTTTTTTTATTTTTATTATTTTTATTTTTTTTAAATTTAAAAAAAACAATAAACATAAAATTACATAAAAATTATATTATATAATAGTATATATATATATATAATATATATATATATATTATATATATATATTTTATACTCATTATATATATATAATTATATATGTACATATAAGTTTATGTTATATATATGTATAGATATATAAATATATATTTATACTCATTATATGTATTTATACTATTGATATTAATATACTATTATCAGTACATATAAGTTTATGTTTATAATATGTGTTATATATATATCAAATATCTATAATATGTATAATATATGTGTATATATTAAAGTATACTTATATACAAGCAGAGAGAGTATAAATATATAATATAAGAAGAGAGCATACTATACATATATATATATTATATAAGAGATTAAACATATATAAGAGAGCAGATATACTTATATTTATATATACTTAATTATTATACTAAGTAGCCCAAAGTATTCATGTCATTATATAGTATATGTATATATATATACACACACACTGACACACATATAATATATTATAATAAACAATTGTTAATACTTATAGTAATTACATAAACAAATGTATTATACATAAACACACACACACACACATATAAACTTATATATACACCACATTATATTATACATATATAAGAGAGAGTATACTTATATATATATATATATATATATATATATATATATATATAATATATATAATATATATATATATATATATATATATATATATATAATTATATAAGAGATATATACATAAATAAGAGAGTATACTAAAATATACTTTATATAAGAGAGTATAACACTGTATACTTATATATATACTTATACATATATTATATATATATAAGAGAGAATATACTTATATATACTTATATACTAAGAGAGAGAGAGTATACTTATATAAGAGAGAGTGTACACTGTATACTTATATATACTTATACATATATTAAGAGAGCATACTTATACATATATATACTTATATAAGAGAGAGTATACTTATATATAATTATATACTAAGAGAGAGTATATATATATATATATATATATAAATTATATATATATATATATATATATATACACACACATATACATATATTTTATATATACATATATTATACATATAAGAAAATAAGAAAATAAAAAAAATAAAAAAAACACTGTTCCGGGCCGGGCCGACGACCGGGCCCGGGCCCGGGTTTCCGGGCCGGGTTCCGGCCCGGCTGGG